GGCTGCTCCGGGTCAGTGCACAAGTAGAACGAAGCATGGGTGGGGGTGGTGCTGCTCCATGCTTCGCGGAAGCCCGTTGGGAGGTGAGTGGAGCTGTGTTGCACCAGAACCGCGATGCTTGAAATATCATAGTTGCCACGAAGCCTGGAGGGGGCTGATGCTTCGTTTTGGCCTGCTAATTTGTGTTTGTTTATTTTTCCTGGGTTGTGCGCTTCTTTTTGCTTTTGGGTCCGCGGGCTCACCTTGTTTTTTCACTATTCCCAGAGTCTTGACATGCCAAATTTGCCCCTAACTTGGGGGCCGGCAAACACAATGGAACCCACTATATCTTTTTACTCAAGCGAAGCTGGGAGGCCACAGGTTCATAGAAAGACCAAAACTCCAAGTGCAGCTGGTTCTTAAATTGCACACCAACAGTATACTCCCAGATATCAGTTGGAAGTGTTTTCCTGCTCACTGATTCCTCCCTCTTCATCAACCGTCCACACCGACTGCGGTGAAGGATCTAGCTGCGGAGGGCTCTCCATCAAGCGGTGCACCGTCAAGGCTGAGATGTTGGCTAACAGAATCCCAGAGCCCGTCATGAGCATCTGGAGCAGGAATGGGTTCAAGGACCTCATCGCCGTTGGAGGCTGGTAGGTTGCTGAGCTGGAATGAGGATGGTGCTTTAATTTGGTCGTCGTATTACTTCTGTGAGGGCTCTTGGTTCCAAAGATCTCTTTGGATAGATGCCAAACATTCAGCTTAAAAGGCAGCCTTGCCAGGGGCCTTTGCTATTGCGGCCAGGGACAGGAGTGCTCCAAAATCTTCTCGAAAGAAGACCGTCACCAGCGTACAGGTTGGGATAGCTGTCAGGTTCGGGAAGAACTGTGACGTTCGCAGGACCAGCCACGTGGGCGAATCCCTCCAGTCGTACACCGGATCGATGGTGTCCTGTCTCGAAGGGAAACGACAGCTACACTCTCAAGAGCCTCATTGACAAGGAAACTCCTTTCTTTTCTTTTCATCTTTTTTTTTTCCACCAGGAGCAAATCACGCTACTAGGGGCTGGCCTTGCTGTTTTCGCTTTTCCAAATGGTCCTTGAGGGAGGGTGGCAGGTTCTCCACCAGCACCAGCCGAAAGACGATGAACTGAACGGCGATGGCCAACACCCCAAGCCCGATGGAGCCTCGGATGGTCCAGCGCGAGCCCAAGCTCTTCTGGAATTCGTAGGCATCCTCAGAGAAGAGCAGGAGCGATCGGACGCTACTAGGAGCAAAGGGCATCGCGACTCGAACGGAGCGATCGGACGCTACTAGGTGTGCTCCCTGCCTTACTACTAGTAGCAAGAAGCTAGTAGCAAAAGGAACCTAATAGGAATAGCAATGGCCTAAGCACAAATACATATCAAAATACATCAACATATATATGCTACTAGTAACAAGTGCATCGCTACTAGTAACAAGTGCCTTACTAGTAGGAACAAGAAGCTACTAGTAACAAGTGCCACGCTAGTAGTAACAGGTGCCCTACTAGTAGTAACAAGAAGCTAGTAGAAACATGTTCACCGTTCAAAAAGGGCAACAATTGGCTCCTGCGTTTCCGGTCCGAGAGGGTTCTGCTCGCGTGTTCCATTCTCAGAAACGGGATCGGTACACCAAGAAGGCGGCAAATGTTGCCTTTTTAATGGGGTGCAAAGAGCAAAAAAGGACCTGCCTGCATGAAGAAGGCAGCAAACTTCAAAGACCCTTTCTTTTTGAAGGTGATGTGGGGATGAATAGCGCACGTGAATCTCCATCTTTTCAGCCAGAGATTCAGACTCCGGATTCTCTATGGCCAAGCCAGCTTCACCAGCATAAACCACCAGAAAGGCCAATAAACCTCCTGGAGGAGGCCATCACTACTAGGTTGGAGGCCATCGCAATTAGGTTCTTTTTGCCATTAGGTTCCTTTTTGCTATCAGGTTCAAGGTTCCTCCTAGAAAACGCTGCAAACATCGGGACTCTGCTGTTGCGACGATTTTATTCGAGCAAGTCCGCGATCGTCCATTTCCCCACTGAGCTCCCCGTGAAAACTGGGAGAAGGATTCCGTTTACCCGTCGGTACTTACAAAAGGGATCGATATGTTGTGCTTGTTGATACGTCGCGATACGTCGCACGGATCCTGTGAGGAGCGTGGCCAAGATCTTCATCATGAGCTGAAAGATGGTCTTTGGCACCTCAGCCGCATGCGGCCGCATGGTACCCATCACACTCACTGCAGTCAAGCGGAAGAAAAGTGGCACCAAAAGTGAAGAGGAGAAAACAAAGCAAAAACAAGACGATCACAGTGTCCAATTTTCTTTTTGAATGGTAAACTGGTAAACCGAGACTCTTAGGTTGGACGCCATCGCTTCTAGTAACAAAGGGCATCGCTACTAGGAGCAAGGATGCTACTCCTGTTTGGAGGCCATCGCTTCAACTGGTAAAGCGAGACTTGCACGACGATACTTCGACGGATGTCTGGCCATCCCACCTGCTCATCGATGTCTGGTGAGGGGTGCTCGAAGAGCACGTTGATGAACAAGGTCAACAAGCTAAAGGCATAGCCTTTGAAGAAACAAGACGGGGGGAAAACGTGTCTGATGAATGCCAAAAAAGGACTGGACGGGTAGAATCAGTAGAATAGCCCTTTCCAAGAGCTGCTCTGGGCCCTAGTTTTAACTTGAACTTGGAAGCGGGTTGAGGGCAAAGGGAGATGATTTGCTTCGATTCCAAGATTGGAGGCATAAGGCATGAACATCCTGTCTTGTCTTCCGTAGGGTGGAGGCCATCGCTATTAGATCCATTTAGAGTCTAAAGAAGACTAGCGATGCCCTTTGTTACTAGTAGCTTCTTGCTCCTACTAGTAAGGCCAGGAGCCCCGAGTAGCGTCCGATCGCTCCGTTCGTAGCGATGCCCTTTGTTGGAGCTCACTGCAGCCGCAGAAGCCCGCGCTTGCGCCGATGACGATGGCTGGCAGCTCCGTGACCCACCCGGCGGCCAACGCGCTGCCGGCGACCAATGTGGCGGCCGTCGCGCCGGACAAGGCCTGCCCCGTCAACAGGCCATCGCTAGTAGGTTGGAGGCGATTCCCATTAGGTTCCTTTGTTCCTAGTAGCTTCTTGTTACTAATAGTAAGAATGCTACTAGCTGTGATGCCCTTTGTTCCTAGTAGCTTCTTGCTCCTAGTAGTAAGGCCAGGAGCCCCTAGTAGCGAACATTGCTCCTTGCCTGCCCCGTCAAGGTGCGAGGGATGTCGCTGGTGCGCTCCCGGCTGCCCTCAGCACGGCTGATGATCCAGTGAACACCACTCAAGCCTCGGCTGGTGTTGAGTGGTTCAGGTTTGTGTTCCAACTGGGGTAGTCAAGGGTGTTTGATGAGGCTTTCTGTGGAAATGGACGGTGGTTTAGCTGAAAGCGCTTGAGACAAGTAGGACGCCCTGAGAGAAGAGGCGGCAGTGACCGACAGATCGTGCCTTTTCATCCGGCACCCTCTCAGTGTCTCAGTCAATGCAAGGACGCTACTAGGGGCTCCTGGCATCGCTACTAGTAACGACACTTTGGCGACACTGCCTGGAAAAAAGCACACATCCACGAATCCACATCCTCGACAGGCTCCAAGACCTGTCTGGCACGCCACATACCCTTCGAACAAGTCAATGTGGTGTTCTGTTGCTCAATTGAACCTCACTTGAAACCTCATGCAGCCATCTGACCGGATTAAACACGTACATTGGCAAGGCTTGATGCTGTTGAAAGTGAAGGCTTTTTTGCACATGAAACATCTTGCCACAGAAACAAGTGCCACGCTAGTAGTAACAAGTGCCACGCTAGTAGTAACAAGTGCCACGCTAGTAGTGACAAGTACCTTACTAGTAGTAACAAGTGCCTTACTAGTAGTAACTAAGAAGCTATTAATTACAATTCTAATTAAATTCCACTTTCCTCAACACCAGCTCTGGTGGCACAGCTCCCAGCCACTTGGAGTTTCGAGGGGCCATAGCTCAGCAGGGATGGAATGAACCTCTCCAAGCCAGCCTTCACAAAGGACAAGGTGAAGCCCGCCAAGATCACCTCATGACGTGCGGACGCGCGATGTGGAGCCAAGTTGTGGTGTTTTAATCGTTTTTTTTCTCACATGCTTGGAACAATGAGCAAAGTCGCAGCCTAAAAAAGGAAACCTTAGAATCTCTCGAAAGAGGACGCTGAATCTTGGACCACACGATGTGTCTTAATTAAGTAGGGGCCGGGCGGGGAGCAGGCTAAAAAAAGTGTCTTTGGCTCGGGCACATAGGTTCCTTGATCCACCAGATTGGCCTCTGATAGGCCGAAAGTGCCCATGAAGAGATAGACCATCATCGCCACGCTGGTCATGCGTTTGAAGAAGGGCACTCCATATTCGATGGCATAAGTCAAACAGTAGGCGATGAACAGTAAGCTCCAAACCAAGGCCTGAGATCGATGGTTGCCATGGGGATGGTTGCTTCCCTAGCTTTTGGGAAGAATCTCTTCCTTTGAAGAGATTGATACTCTTTCTACCGGGGGTATTTATCTGTAGAACACACCAGTAACTCAAGCCCAAGTGCTTCTAGAACCATAGTCCGCAGGATCTACTTTCAGGCCCGACAAATAAAACACTATTTGGTATCTGATTCAACTAGTGGTATTTCCCCTGCGAAATGAACATCAAGATCGGGTATGGCTCTGCTCCGCAAGAGGCTTCTCAGAAGTCCAAAATTATTCCCCGCCGTCACCGCCGTTACCAACAAACACGTGCCTGTTTTGCGCCTTTTACAGCTCACGCATAGAACAATGGTTTTCTTCCGGCCACGCACCGCTCACCATTCTAGATCCCTACAGTGCCTCCGCACACACGCACAACCCTCACACCACTCTGCACTCTTGCTGCAGCCCCGATGCGTTCTTAGTGCCTTTGGTGTGAGA